TACATAGTAATCGCCCCGCTGGACCCTGGCCTTTAGAGGCTACCAGAATACACGTAGTAGTCACCCCGACCCCTCCCTGGCCTCTAGGAGCTACCCTAATATATGTAATAGTTGCCCCCCTAACCCTGGCTTTTAATGGCTACTGTAATATACATAGTAATCGCCCCGCTGGACCCTGGCCTTTAGAGGCTACCAGAATACACGTAGTAGTCACCCCGACCCCTCCCTGGCCTCTAGGGGCATGACAGCCTGGAGCCCATCCAGGGGCGCGGGGACGGCCAGGCGCCGTTCTCCGGCGTGTGCGGGTCAGACGGGCTGATCGCGAGGGGCCCGTGGGAAGCTGCCCGGCCCGTTGGCCCTGCCGGCTGAAATACAAACTCCCCCACACTGCGATCCTGCCGTGGGGAGCCCGGGGCCAGAGCTTCCCACTACACGTCCATCGGAGCTGTCTGCACTCGGGCACGGGGGCCAGGAGCACCTCAGCTTCTCTGGCACTGCCCCAGCCTCCTCCTTTACCCTCGGGCGATTCCCTCGCCTCTCCGCCTCTCCATTTCCCCCTCCGTCCCACGGGGCGTATCGATCCCAATCTAACCCGTGCTCTGCGGCTGAATTATTCATCGGGTCCGCTCTCTAGCGAGGAGCTCGCAGATCCGCTCCGTGGCCTGGGCAATAAAAAACACATCAGCTAAAAACCCTTCTGGCCGAGCGCCAGCTGCTGGCAAAGGCCGGCTGAGTCTGGAGCGTTCTCAGGGCCCAGCAGCAGCGAGTTCCACAGGTGTGCAGGGCGGGGCCCTGCTCGAAATCAGGCGCTCCTGGCATTTCCCGGAGCAGGCCTGAGCCGCAGCCCAATGCAGGCTGTGAGCCACTCTGTCGTTTGTTCCAGGTGACCTTGCTGGATTTCGGAGCAAGCCGGCCCTTCAGCAGAGAGTTCACCCATCACTACATCGAGGTATGGGCGCGTTCGCCCGCCCGCCCACCACGCAGGAGCCTGCCTGTCTGTATCGGAGACGACCCAGCTGCTGCCTCGGAGCCCGCAGGGTTAGAGGCAGCGGGGGCCGGGGGCTAGGGCGCTGCGTTGATGGAACACCTGGATTCCCTTCCCAGCTCTGGGCAAGTCAGCGCCCCTCCCCAGGCCTCAGTTTCTCCTCCCACTCTGTCTGTTCAGACTGGAGCTCTTTGGGGCAGGGCCGTCTCTTACTCTCTCTGCGGTGCCTGGTGCTAAGGGGCCCCGATCTCGGATGGGGTCTGGGCGGCGCCCAGCGCAACGGGGCCCCGATCTCGGATGGGGTCTGGGTGGCACCCGGTGCAACGGGGCCCCCAATCTCAGTCAGGGTCTGGGCGGCGCCCAGCGCAACGGGGCCCCGATCTCGGATGGGGTCTGGGCGGCGCCCAGCGCGACAGGGCCCCGATCTCAGTCAGGGTCTGGGCGGCGCCCAGATACCAGCAGCTGGGTCCTGATGTTAAACAATTGCATCGTTCTGTCTTTTCATCCATGGAGCGAATGGTTCTTTACTCAGGATCATCGTCCGCCTTTTACAGGTGGGAAACTGAGTCATGGGGCGGGGACTTGCCTGAGGCGAATGGCACAGCTGGGAATAGAACCCAGGACGCCTGAGTCCCCGGCCGGTGCCCTGCCACTGGGCCAGGCTGTTGTCTGGGGCGGTGCTGGGTGCCTCAGGGAATTGGGGTTTATGGGCAGCCAGGAACTGGGCACCCTTGGGGCATGTGACCCTTAGACCTTCCTTTGTGTGGGTATTTGTGGAAACTGGCGCCTGAGCGGCCTGGTGCCACCCGGCCTGGATCCTACGTCCCCCTCACAGCCTCCGCAGGGCTGGCCCAGGTCGGGGCCGGGGGGCAGACCCACATGGGAAATCCAGCCGGCAGGGGGAACAAGTGTGGCACTAGGGGGCGCTGTGATTCGGGGCAGGGACTCAGCAGGGGACGCTCTCCCCTGGCAGGCAGTGCTGGCCTGAGGCCGTAGGGGGCGCTGCGTCACAGGGGGTGGGGGCCAGCAGGGGGGGCTCTCCCCTGGCAATCGGTGCTGGCCTGAGGCCGTAGGGGGCGCTGTGCCACAGGGGGTGGGGGCCAGCAGGGGGGGCTCTCCCCTGGCAATCGGTGCTGGCCTGAGGCCGTAGGGGGCGCTGTGCCACAGGGGGTGGGGGCCAGCAGGGGG